GAAAAAATGGACCTTTATTTATAATTTTTGTAGAGAGATTTACTACCCAATAAGAACTCAAAGTACCAAATTTCAGCGAATTCAGTTAAAAAACGCGCTCAAGAACCTCAATCAAATTTTGGGGTACCCTTATATGGGAGCTATGCCTAAACGTGGACCGATTTTCTCCAATTTCAATAGGGTTCGTCCTTGGGCCAATTAAGTGACCTGTGCCAAATTTCATCCAAATCGGATCATAAATGCGACCTGTACTTTGTTAACAAAAATACATGGACGGACAGACGGACGGACGGACGGACGGACAGACGGACAGACGGACATGCATAAATCGACTCAGAAAGTGATTCTATGCATATTCTCAAAAGGAACCATGGGTCTATCTCGATTATTTTTGCCTGTTACAAACATATGCACAAAGACATAATACCCTGTACCACAGTGTGGTGAAGGGTATAAAAATGAAAAAATTCTCTGTTGCAAACAAAAATTTATTGTGAAAAGAATTTCAAGGAATATCAGGACTATAGTTGTGGATTTTCAAAAAAAATATATTTTTTTCAAGGACTATCAAAACGATGATTGTGGATTTTCCATGCAGACCAATATGATAGTAAAAATGTTGTCTTTTTCTTAGGATAACGTTTAGTTTAAATTTAAAATATTTATTTCTGGGAATTATTGATTACATGATAATAATTCCCCTAAATGTAATGCTATGGTGCAAAATGTGGATATTTTTTATGGATTTTATTGGAAAATGATTTTTTTCGTGGTTCTGTAATAATCACTTAAGTAGTCCTTGATGCTTGTTGATGTCTGCCCCATTTTACACCTACTTCAGTTGCGTCAATTCGAATAATAATAAAAAAACGAAAAACAAATTGATGCTTTCAAATTAAATTTTGTTGGTGGCAATTCATCATAAATTCGCTTCTTTATTCGCACCTTTCATTCGTGGGAAGTGAACGTTTGTGTAAGTATGTGGATGTGGGTATTTGAGGATGAAAAGATGACAGGGCCACAAGAAGATATTGGTACATTACCTAAGTATTTCACCGTGCTACCTTCTAATCAAATAACTTAAAGTTTGCTGCTCTCCCCTAGGAAAACTTTTACACCAGGGAGCGGTTGTTTAAAACACCAGACACCATTACAGCAATAATTCCCCAAAAATACCAAAGATAAATAATAAACGTTCTGAACTAAGTTAAATAATATTTAAGTTCTAACAAGCGCAGCGACGACAAGGAGAACTGCGAAAAATGCTTTGCAACAATGTTTCTAAATGATTCGTTCGACTTTAATGAGCGGTTGCTTGGATGATGGGTGGCAGTGTGTGTATGTGGGTGGGTGTAATATGCAAAGCCATTGCCGCCCCTAGGTCACTGTCACTCACGGTTCGTCTTTGTAGAAAATAAGGAAGACACGGAGTCTTAAAACAACTGTCGACAGGAGGTTAAGTGTTATGCTGTTGCCCGAACCTCCATACCTCTGATGTTTATCTGCCACGATATTCCTAATGTTTAAAACTATCTCTGGGGGACATTTAACAAAGCGGTAAAGTGAAAATAATAAAGTGATTAATTGACTGAATAGACAAAAAAGAAAAACCGTCGTATTCTTGAAAATTGAATTAAACTTTGAAAATGTTTTTTTGGTGGAACAGGCAACAGCTGATGTTGTTGCCTCATGTTTTCGGCTGTTCCTGTACAAAAGGTCAATTGTGTGTATCCAAGTGAAACGAATTGTATTACAAATGTTTTGGAAAGAGGAACCAAAAAGTTTTCGGTTGATGGTATATAAGTAGATATGTTCATTATAGTATTCTTATTTGTCTTGGACAACAGACACAACATGCTGGCGGAAAACTTATTTTAGAAGTTTATGGAAATAAAATTTTAAATGATTAGGCAGCAAATATTCATGGCCGTGACACAATATTTTTGAAAACAAACAAATTTGTTAAACAAAAATATATTCATATCCTCTCAACAAAAATATTCCTTAAGAATCGACATATACCAACAAATTTCATACTTCGGTGTCGAAATTATACTGAATCCTATAGGGGGCAATGTCAAAACATCGAAATTACCGGATTTTAGGTTGTAAAATGCGGCTTCATAATACAGAAAATGGAGCAGTACCACAATATGGGTAAAACGAAAACTTGAACCGATATTTCCAATACCAAACATTTTAGAAGTATTACCATTGGATATACAAAATGTATATAAATTCTATGACGATCTAAATATGCCCGTCTGTCTGTTGTAATCACTCTACTACCTAAACGAATTAAGATATATCGCAAACATTTTGTACAAAGTTGTCTTTTGTCTGCAGGCACGTCAAGTCCGAAGATGGGCTATATCGGTCCACATTTAGGCATAACTCCCTTATCAGGGTACCGCCAATTTTTAGGTATTTTGGGACACTTGATCTCTGAAATTTGGTGCATTTTAAATATAGGCCCACTTTTTCTGGTACTGCCCAATTTTCGGTATTTTGGGGGTCGCGAGCGTATTTTCCAACAGAATTCTCTGCAATTTGATACTTTGAGTTCTTATTGGGTAGCAAATCTGTCCACTAAAAATTATAATTAAAGGTCAGTTTTTTCGGGTAGACCTCATATAGAGGTATCCCCATTTTTGGTATTTTGAGGTTTTTGAGCGCGTTTTCAACCGAATTCGCTGTAAAAATAATAAATATAGGTTCACTTTTTCGGATAGCCATATCACAGTACCTCCCATTTTTTTCGGTATTTTGGAGTTATTGAGAGCGTTTTGTAACAGAATTCGCTTTAATTTGAAAATTAATGTTGTTATTGTGTTGTAAATCTATCCACTAAAAATTATAACTATAGGTCCACTTTTTCGGGTAGGCCCCATATAACTGTACCTCCATTCTTTCGGTATGTGGGTTTTCAACTGAATTCGCTGTAATTTGGTATTTTGTATTTGGCCCAAATTGGACATTCCGAAGCATGTTTAATAAAGTCCTATAGTTCATATAAAAATAATAGATTTATTTTCCCCCAACATAATTGTTAACTGATTTGTTCCGCGTTTTGGGGTTGTCCCCATATAGCCGTATTCCACCATAGAAGGGATATTCTGTTCTCAAAATTATCAGTTTTTATCATACAAAGTTTGAAATTCTTATACAATTTAGCCACCTGTTGAAATCATTCTACTTACGGAGGACATCGAGATAAAAAATTAGAACGTCATGTTCGAAAATGAACAATATCGGCCCGCGTTTTGACCTTTAATAATACTTACCGATTTTCGGTATTGTTAATATTTAGGGTGAAGGAAGGTGTTTTGATCCAAAAATTAAATTGAACTATATAGGTCCTCAATTGGCCACAGCACCTCATACAATGATAACTCCCAAGGTTTGGTAATTCCAACACGATGTAATCAATATTTGTCTCGCTTTAGATATAGCCTCCAGGGACTTACGCATACAAAAAATGTTTTTCTGCAATGAAAATGTTAATACTGAACCAGCCTGAAGTTTTCTGATTTAGATGTTGCTCTTAAAAAAATTTTCGTCCGATTTCATGGACTGCACGCTTTGCTGCAATATACCTAATCGAAAACTCTTTAAATGAACTTTTCCCCCGATTAAGTGTCCCAAAAATGTCTATGTTTGAACATATAATGGAGGCACGTGTCGTAATATTAGATCGAAGTGACTATAATTAGACATTATAGATTATCAATAAAGCTCTTGCAAGCATTAATATTTGTATATCTTCTTTTAAATACTTTGAAGGTTCCGACTACATTTTTCAATCAAATATGCGGTTATGATTTCAAATTATACATAGAATGAAAACCTGAATGTTTTTGCTTTTTTACGGTATGTACTGTAATTGTCTACGACTTCCATAAAATGTTTTAATATTTAAAAGTTAAAATACTTCTACTAGAGTTTAAAAATAACAACAATCCGCAATTGATTGGCTAGTTATTAAAGTGTATCTTTAATATTTCCAACATCAATAAGACATGCATATGGTTTTATTTTACGTTACCTTCATTGGGTCGTGGGGGCCATATTATATTGCCACTTGTGATAAAAGAAACACCACCACCAACAACATAAAACAAACGTCGACACCTATCATGCTGAGGCGCAATGCAAATATTTTTCATTAATATTTTAATATTTACACTTTCATGTTTTTGCCACGTTTGTTGTATCCAACGAAAAGGTAACTGAAATAACATTTCTTGGAGATCCTTAAGAATTCCATGTGTACAGATATGTGTGCCACGCTGAGGTGCGTGTGTACAGACATATGGATCATCTTGTATTTGTTTTATATGAAATCTACGTGCCACTTGGATTCGATACCGAAATTAATCACGTACCATGGTGGGTATTAAGTGGAATTCAATTGATGACACACGCACATGTATACTACACATATACACACATGTATACTACACATATACCTACATGTGTATGTGTGTGTAGTAGAACAGCACCTATTGTTTCTTGTTTCTTTGACTAAAATCTTCGTTGAGGTAGGTTTGTGTTGAAAGCTAAATATGCTAACAGCTTTCCAATTTTTATTTGCAAAAGACAAATATATTTCCCTTACTGAGGTATGTAATTTTCCCAAGAGTATTTTTATAGATTTCTATAATATAGGACATTTTTATTAAACGTGACAAATACTGGCACGTTTCTTAAGCACATACACACAATTGTTTGGAGTAGGATATTTTGGAAATAGTTTAATGAGTGGCGCTGCAATATGTTTCCTTTTCAAATGGTAAATATTCCTGGATACATTTAGCATTTGTCAAAATGACGGTCATTCATCTCGGTTAGGATATATTTACTTCAATTGTGGCCACAAATTCCGTGTATAGCCATAGTACTATGACATTTGACAATAAGATAGATAATAATCAACAGTCTTAAATCTCCATTACCTTAGCGAAAATTCTAGAAAATATTTTTTACCTTTTCTTTTTTAGAATCCTGGTTATGCTGGACGCAAAGAGTTACCTGAAAATTTGAAAATACAATTTCGTACTGTCGCCATGATGGTACCGGATCGTCAAATTATTATTCGTGTGAAATTAGCTTCCTGCGGATTTTTGGAGAATATTACATTGGCCCGAAAATTTTATACGCTCTACAAATTGTGTGAAGAACAGTTAACGAAACAGGTGCATTATGATTTTGGATTAAGGAATATTCTATCAGTGCTGAGGACATTGGGTGCGGCAAAGCGAAGGAACTCAAAGGATAGCGAGAGTACGATTGTGATGCGAGTCCTACGCGATATGAATCTCTCAAAGTTAATAGATGATGATGAACCGTTGTTTATATCGCTGGTATCGGATTTGTTTCCCAATCAGGTGAGAACTACGATTTGACAATTTGCTTCTTGGAATTAATTTTTTTTTAATTGTTTTTAGACCCTCGAGAAAACCAATTACCCCGAACTGGAGGCTGCCATTGCCCAACAAACGGAAGAAGCAAATTTGGTTTACCATCCTCCGTGGGTTCTTAAGCTAATACAACTCTACGAAACCCAAAATGTCCGTCATGGCATTATGACCCTGGGTCCTAGTGGTGCTGGTAAGACCACCTGCATACACACCCTAATGAAGGCGCTTACCCAAATGGGTGATGTCCATCGTGAGATGCGTATGAATCCGAAGGCCATAACAGCGGCCCAGATGTTTGGTCGTTTAGATGTGGCCACAAATGATTGGACTGATGGTATTTTCTCTGCACTGTGGCGTAAAACTTTAAAATTGAAAAGTGGTGAATATGTATGGCTGGTGTTGGATGGACCTGTCGATAGTATTTGGATTGAGAATTTAAATTCGGTATTGGATGATAATAAGACTCTGACATTGGCCAATGGTGACCGTTTGACCATGGCACCGACAGTTAAAATTATTTTCGAACCCCATAATATAGATAATGCCTCGCCGGCGACTGTGTCGCGGAACGGTATGGTTTATATGAGTTCGTCGGGTTTGGATTCAAGGCCAAGTGGGTGAATTAAATACTTACATTTATTTCAAAATCATTTTAATATTTAATTTCCAGTCGTCCAAGCTTGGTTGAAGAACAGAGCTCCCGGTGAAAAGACTGTCTTTTGGGATTTGTTCGAACGTACATTTGTCCAATTGATTAATTGGGGTACCCAAAATCTAAAATTGCTTATGCCGGTATTACAATGCAATGTTGTGCGGCAAATGCTCTTGATATTGGAAGGCCTGGTCCCAGTCAAGAAGGAGGACGAACAAGCTGTCAGCCTGTGTAGCAAAGATAGTCAGGATGGTAAGTATCAGCAACCAGATCGAAGATTTTTACTTAGTTCTCTCAAGGTCATCAACGGAGTGAATGGTGTTTTGAAGCCGCTATACTCGTCAGTATCGAAGTTTTTTAGATTTAATTTAATTTTGAAACCTCGCTTTCAGCCAAGACCAAACTCAAAGAAGTAAAAGAAATACGCCGTAAATCAATGCAAGAAGATGATGAGGGTAAAGTACAAAGCATTCCTATTTTTTGTTGTTGTTCTATTTCAGATTTATTACAACTCTATCCTAACACCCTTCTCTATATGTATGTGTCTCGTGGTTGCTGTAATTTAGCTTAATATGTGTAAAACTTCTTTTAACATTGTGATTGTAGCACTAATCTGAAGTCTTGTTGTAAAATGTTTCACTTGCATTATCTAGGAAAGACTTTTCGGATCTGAGGAATAAAATATATAAGTTTTCATTCACCAGAATCCGGGATGCGAAAATTACAGCCACATGGGTTGGAAAAGGTGCCTTGGTCAATTAAGGCATTTCAAATAGGGCGGGACCTTCATATGGGTGGTACGTCAATATCGAAAATTATCTGAATGAATTGTTTTACTCTTCAAGAATCTGAATTGCCGAACTAAAGCTAATTCGATGGGAAAATGTAACCAAAATCTTTCAAATACCCGAATACAGGTGGGCGGGGTGTATATACCAAAAAGTGGATCGATGTATCCCATTTTCAATGACAAACATCATACGACCAATAGAAAGTTGGTTAGTATGGTGACGTAGATGAAGGTGTGGACCAATGGGTCTCATCTTCGCACTTGATCTAGCCTTGGTAATGATAAAAGGTTGTTTAAAGTTTGGTTCAAATCGGACATTCCATCCGCTGATATTGGATTAAATATTGACCCATTGTGGGGGAGGTACCAGAAGAAGTGAACCAATAGGTCCAATATTCAGATTTGATCTAGGCAAATTTCAGCAAAATGATGGCAATTTTGTGGGAGAGGTGCCAGAAGGAGTGTATCGATATTGTCATATTTGAACTTATACTAAGTGTGGAAGAAATAATACGATTTTCAAAGTTTGCACAAAATCTATTACTACCTTCGAGAGTTATCTTCCGGACTGACCGACATACGGACGGACATTTGTAAACCGACTCCAAATTGTCTGAAACGGATTTGGTACCAAGAAACATGGGGTCTAAACCCAACATTTCAAATTTTTGCCCTATGAAAGTGTTTTTACCCTCATTTGCCATAAGGCTGAGGCTTCGATATTCAAAAATTATTCTTTAAAAATTCGTAAAGAAATATTTATTAAAAAATCCACGCCTATGGAAACAATATTCATTAAAAACTCCACTCAAGGCGTGCGACCTACTTTAGCTTTGGATCCAGCTAGTATGCCTCTGGATAAACAAAATTGGTTCTTGCTCTCAATTTGAAGAGATCCTCATCCTCTTTGCACAATTTCCTACCTTGGTCAAGTGAAATAGTTCCTTCAGTAAATTAATGTTTCAAACATCAATAAAAATTTAAATTTAAATTTAAAGGAGTAGCTACCATAACAGAATCAATAGAGTTTATATGCTTCCTACGGATATTCATGGTAACGAATCTCCGAAAAGTCTTTCCTGGTAATGTACTTCTATTTAAATATATTTATGTATATGTGTGTGTGAATAAAATCTATCTACTAACTCAACTAAAATGTGATCTCGTCCAAAACGCTCTTGACTAAACTGTGTTCCCTATGCTTTTAATACTATCATAACTAATCCCCACACTTGTCTATTTTCCCTCTTCGTAGAAGAAGCTGCTGAAGAACCCGCTGTCGAAGAAAAAGAAGACACCTGTACACCGGAACATTTACATCGTCTCTACATCTTTGCTTTAGCCTGGGGTTTAGGCGCCTATCTGAGTGCATCGGATCGTATCAAAATGAACAATTACGTGAAACAATCATTTCCCGATTTGGACTATGCGAAGGGTACAGCTAATGAGAATACGATTTTTGATTTCTTTGTATCGCCAGCCGGCACTTGGCAATCCTGGAAGACTTTGGTGACACCCTATATGTATCCGGAGGTTTCCACACCCGATTATTTGAGTATACTTGTGCCGATTGTCGATAATGTACGAATGGATTATCTCATTGGAACGATAGCCAATCAGGAGAAGGCCGTAATGCTGATTGGTGAACAGGGCACAGGCAAGACGGTGATCATGAAGAATTTCATGCGTAAAATGAATGTGGAAACCTATATGGGAAGATCGTTTAATTTCTCATCGGCCACAAGTCCCTACCAGTTTCAGAGGACTATTGAAAGTTATGTTGAGAAGCGTGTGGGTGTTACATTCGGTCCACCAGGAGGTCGAAAATTGATTGTATTCATCGATGATATTAATCTGCCGGAAATCAATGAATGGGGCGATCAGGTCACCAATGAAATTGTACGACAATCGATGGATATGAAGGGCTTTTATAGTCTGGAGAAACCGGGCGACTTCACCACAATTGTGGATGTTCAGTATGTGGCTGCCATGGGTTTACCAGGCGGTGGTCGCAATGATATACCTTCACGTTTGAAGCGACAATTTTGTGTGTTCAATTGCAATATACCCGATAATGATTCAATTGATAAGATATTCCGGGTAATTGGCGAGGGCCATTACAACACGAAGCGATGTTTCATACCCGAAGTACGGAATTTGGTGAAGAAATTGATTGTTGTCACGAGATATCTGTGGCAAAGGACTCGTGAGAAGCTGTTACCAACACCAGCTAAATTTCATTACGTTTTCAGTTTGCGTGACCTATCACGTATCTGGCAGGGCATGGTGGGTACCTTACCTACCGTTATCACCTCAGAAAGTGTTCTCATGTCGCTGTGGAAACACGAATGCATTCGTGTCTTTGCTGATCGTTTTACCAACATTCCCGACAAGGAGTGGTTCGGTTCGGAATTGGCTTGTCTGGTGCGCTCGGAATTAGGCGAGAATTATGTGCAAATGATCGTGCCGAATCCGGTGTTCGTGGACTTTATGCGTGATGCACCTGAACCTACAGGCGAAGAGGGCGAAGATGCCGACATGGAATTGCCCAAAGTCTACGAGCCGGTGACCTCTCACGAAGTGCTCCGTGAGCGTCTGGTTATGTTCCTTGCTCAGTTCAATGAAATGGTGCGAGGTTCTGGGATGGACTTGGTCTTCTTTCCGGATGCAATGCTGCATTTGGTAAAGATTTCCCGTATAATACGGCATCCTCGCGGCAATGTCATGCTGGTCGGGGTGGGTGGCTCCGGCAAACAATCGCTTACGAAATTGGCATCATTTATAGCCGGCTATAAGACATTTCAAATTGCCCTAACGCGTTCGTATAATGTGGCCAACTTTTTGGAAGATCTCAAGTTACTGTATCGGACATGTGGTGTCCAGGGTAAAGGCACCACATTCCTCTTCACCGATATGGACATTAAAGAGGAGGGATTCCTTGAGTATTTAAATAACATATTGTCGTCGGGCGTGATTTCCAATCTCTTCTCGCGCGATGAACAGGCAGAAATCGTACAGGAACTCACACCGATAATGAAACGTGAGAATCAGCGAAAAACCGCCACCCCGGAAAGTGTGATGGAATTCTTTTTGGCTCGGACATGTGCCAACCTGCATGTGGCCTTTTGTTTCTCGCCCGTGGGAGAGACGTTCCGATCGAGGGTGCAACGTTTTCCCGCCCTGGTATCGGGCTGCACTATCGATTGGTTCCAACCGTGGCCAAAGGATGCCCTTGTCTCCGTGTCACGACACTTTCTGAGTGACTTTGAGATAGAGTGTACACCGGAAGTGAAGGAGGAGTTGGTGAATGCTTTGGGCTCAATACAGGATGTGGTGTCGGAAACATCGCAGGAATACTTCCAACGTTTTAGACGTGCAACACACGTCACACCGAAGTCGTATTTGAATTTCATAGCGGGCTATAAGAATATCTATCAGCAGAAGCAAAAGGAATTGGGAGATGGTGTGGAGAAAATGGACACTGGTTTGGAGAAGCTAAAGGAAGCCTCAGCATCGGTGGAAATATTGAAAAAAGATTTGGTGGTTATGGAAGAGGAGTTGGTTGAAGCTTCGAAGAAAGCAGAATCCGTTTTGGTGGAGGTTACCGAGAGGGCCATGCAAGCAGAAATTGTGAAGAATCAGGTATTGATTGTCAAGGATAAGGCCGAGGCTTTAGTTGCCTGTATTGCCGAGGAAAAAGCCTTAGCCGAAGAGAAGTTGGAAGCAGCCAAACCAGCGTTGGAGGAAGCTGAAAATGCCTTGAATACCATAAAACCTGCTCACATTGCTACTGTACGTAAATTGGGACGTCCTCCCCACTTGATTATGCGTATCATGGATTGTGTATTGATCCTGTTCAAACGAAAACTGCATCCTTGCATACCAGACTCGGGGACACCATGTCCCAAACCATCTTGGCAGGAATCTCTTAAGGTTTGTTTGTTTGCCACAATCCCAATGTATTTTGTCATATCTAAGAAGTTCTTCTATTTGTTTCTCTTCCTTTGCTCTGGGTTTGACAACAACAAACAGATGATGGCCAGTGCCACATTCCTGTTGCAATTACAAAACTATCCTAAGGATACCATAAATGATGAAATGATTGATTTATTACAACCATATTTCCGCATGGAAGACTATAACATGGATATGGCACGTCGGGTGTGCGGTGACGTTGCCGGTTTGCTGTCCTGGACCAAAGCTATGGGTTTCTTTCATAGTGTCAATAAAGAAGTTTTGCCGTTAAAGGCCAATTTGACATTGCAGGAGGCCAGATTGAAGGTAAGTTGAATGAGTTTTCTGTATTTTGGCCAGTCTGTCATTTGTCTGGACATCATGTGTCTATGCTTTGATTTTGGAAAAATATATCAAAATATGATGAATGCATGCATGCATATATGTAGTTTGATATGTGATAGTGTTTGATATGTATGTAGGTGATGTTTAGAAATTTTATTGATTGGAAACATTGTCGATGAATATCAGAAAATAGAAATTTGTCCATAAATAGTTCTACTGCAAATATTTATAGATGCATAACATTTTCAGGAATTTTTGGATAATAATGAACCATTTTGTTATTGATTATTTGCTTTTAGGATGTAGACACTAATATTGATGAGTGCATTGAATAATTTAGTTATTAAATCGTCCATAAAGAATTTCACATTGACGTTATTCCTAATTTGCCAGCAATAGAACAACAAATTTCTAAACTAAACTTAGATACCAGGTCTGATAGATCCGAAATTTAGCGTTACTTAGTATATGTTCTTTAAATGGTCCTACCGGAAAGCACCCGTTTTGCATTTTTCACGAATACGACCATTTGTTTGAAGGTATTTATCCTCTGAGCGGGCTTCGGTTAAACCGTTATAAAAACTGGGTTATTAAACCGATTCAAAAATGTTGGGATTCGGTTAAGCATCTTTATGTTTAGCATGAGATATATTTATGATATATATTTCAAAGGAACCTGACAGTTTTTTCGTATAAGGATTTATCGTCTTGTAATATTAAAATTAAAACGAAAAAGGCCCTAAAAAAACTCGAGATAGAGAATATGTTTCACAAAAATATTCCTCATTCGATTTGACCAAAAACATGTTATCTCAACAAATGACCTGCAATAACCGAAAACATTGATATAAAGCGTTTTTTATACCCTTCACCACACTGTGGTACAGGGTATTATGTCTTTGTGCATATGTTTGTAACAGGCAAAAGGAAACGAGACAGACACATGGTTCCTTTTGAGAATATGCATAGAATCACTTTTTGAGTCGATTTATGCATGTCCGTCCGTCTGTCCGTCGGTCCATGTGTTTTTGTTCACAAAGTATAGGTCGCATTTGTGATCCGATTTGGATGAAATTTGGCACAGTTCACTTATTTGGCCCAAGGACGAACCCTATTGAAATTGGGAAAAATCGGTTCAGATTTAGATATAGCTCCCATATATATTTTCGTCCGATTTTAGGTAAATGGTGCACCAAAGTCCCTATATGTCCTTCGATTTGCACGAAATTTGGCAAAATTTCCTGAAAATCGGTTCAGATGTAGATATAGTTCTCATATATATATCATCATATATTTTCGTCCGATTTAATGTAAATGGTGCACCAAAGTCCCTATATATGTTTCGATTTGCACGAAATTTGGCACAGCGTAATGAATTAGGTCTAGAATGATGTGTGCTAAGTTTCGTGAAAATCGGTTCAGATTTAGATATACCTCCCATATATATTTTCCCCCTATTTAATGTAGGTGGTGCACCAATATCCCTATATATCTTTCGATGGCACAGCGTATTGAATTAGGTCTAGAATGATGCGTGTTAAGTTTCCTGAAAATCAGTTCAGATTTAGATATAGCTCCCGTATATATTTTGGTCCAATTTAATGTAAATGGTGCACCAAAGACCCTTAATATCTTTCGATTTGCAGGTATAGAATGATGTTTGTTAAGTTTCCTGAAAATCGGTTCAGATTTAGATATAGTTCCCATATATATTTTCGTCCGATTTAAGGTAAATGGTGTACCAAAGTCCCTTAATATCTTTCGCTTTGCATCAAATTTGGCACAGCTTAATGAATTTGGTCTAGAATGATGTGTGTTAAGTTTTCTGAAAATCGGTTCAGATTTAGATATAGTTCCCATATATATTTTCGTCCGATTTAATGTAAATGGTGTACCAAAGTCCCTATATATCTTTTGATTTGCTCGAGATTTGGCCCAGCGTACTGAATTAGAATGATGTGTATTAAGTTTCCTGAAAATCGGTCCAGGTTTAGATATAGCTCCCATATAGATTTTCGTCCGATTTAAGAAAAATGGTGTACCAAAGTCCCTTAATATCTTTTGGTTTGCACCAAATTTGGCGTAGCGTAATGAATTAGGTCTAGTATGATGTGTGTTAAGTTTCATGAAATCGGTTCAGATTTAGATATAGCTTCTATATCTGACCAAATGAAAACTTTAGTATAGGTTGCAGAATGACATGTTCATGGATCCAATTTCATTTTACTGGTCCATTAAAAATGCGACATTTGTTAAGATTCATCTGTTAAATATACCCAAAGTGGTGAAGGGTATCATATAGTCGGCCCCGTCCGACTTTACTCCTTTCCTTACTGGTTTCTTACTGAGAATTTGTCCTTCTGGATACTTAATATACTAATCATAAGAAATGTTTCACCACCAGACCATGACCTCGATTTTCTGCCGCAATTTCGAACCCAATATTTCAGTTTTGTATCTCAATTCACAACTATCTATTCCGAGTAACGATTATCCCCCATAATATGGCAGAATACGCCTATGGGGACAACCTCAACACACGGAACATATCAGCATACTATTTTAATATAAACCAGTAAGGAAAGTTCAAAAGTCGGACATAGCATCATTGAAATGGAATCGGACGAAATTACCTGCATGAATAACGTAGATATTTGAACTAAATTAAAACAACCCATACACATACTAATTTGAAAATTATGAAAAATTGAATGTCAATTATCGAACAAAATATTTATAAAAATGGACGTATATAAAAATGCAACCACCATTTGGTATGCTGAAACACAGTGCTATATCCAAAATTTATCTCGACACAAAATCAAATACACGCTATTCTAGGTTCGATTGTGTACTAATTCGTCCTAAGCGGACAAACTTTAGTTACTTGGTGCATCATTTTGATGAAATCGGACGAAGATATATCTGGAAGCTATATCTTCCAATACACTATGCAATATTTCATGTAAAGCGAACAGATATACCATTTGCATAAAATCTACATGAGGGAGATATATCTGCATCTAAACCTATTTCAACAACAAAATATCGTGCAAATAGAACATTGGTAGTATGGTGCTCCATTTACATAAAATCGAACAAAACAATATATGGGAGCTATTTCTAAATCTGAACCGAATTTCTCCAATTTCAAATTTCATCCAAAAAGGATCGTAAATGCGATTTGTACATTGTTCACAAAAATACATGGACGGACAGATGTACATGCATAAATCGACTCAGAAATTAATTCTATGTATATTCTCAAAAGGAACTATGGGTCCATATATGCACAAAGACATAATACCCTGTCCACAGTGTGGTGAAGGGTATAAAGTATATAAGGTATATAGTCCCCCTAAAAAGGGGGAAATATTAATAATTTTTGGTAGGGAGATTTGTTACCATTTACGACTACAAAATACAAAATTACAGAGAATTTGGTTGAAAAACGCGCTCAAGAACCTCAAAATACCGAAAATTTGGGATATCCTTATATGGGGGCTACCAGAAAAAATTGACCCTATTCATAATTTTTAGTGGAGAGATTTGGCACATATTAGGAACTCAAAATACTAAATTACAGGAAAAATACGACCAAACCCCCAAAATACTGTAAATTAGGGGGTACCGTTATATGGGAGCTACAGAAAAAGTGGACCTACATCTATAATTTTTGGTGAAGAAATTTTGTACCCAATAAGAACCCAATGTACCAAATTTCAGCGAATTCGAAAATTAGGTATTCTGGGGGGCTCTGAACGTGGATCGATATATTCCATTCTTCGAACTTGACCTATATGCAAACAAAAGACAACCATATGCAAAATTTCAGCCCCCTATCTCATTTCCTGCAGAAGATAGCGTGATTACAACAGGCGGACGGACATTCCTAGTGATAGAATTTTACGCTGATCAAGAATATATACACTTTATAGAGTCGGAAATGATTATTTCGATGAGTTACAAGCGGAATGACAAGATTAATATACCCTCCATACTATGGTGGAGGGTATAAAAAAAGCGTGCCCAAAATACCGAATAATGGGAAGAACCGTTTAAAGCAATTTCTTTTTAAGGAAAGGTTTCTTAACTTCCCGAAATACTGAAATTTGGGAGGTACCGTTATAGGGGAGCTACCCTAAAAATTTGACAAATATTAATCATGTTTTGGAGGAATATGAAAACGTAAATTACCGCAAAATGATGGATAGTTGGGTACCTTTAATTTGGGGTTTCCCTAAAATGGGGGCCAATATTAATAATTTGAACCATGATAACTAAAGCACAAATTGTGGTATTTCAGTATTCCAGTAACCATCTGACTCATAGAAAAAGTTCGAAAACAAGCCTAAAATTCTAAGACGATATAAACATGTCACTCGCATATAGTTCCCATAAAAGTTTGCCACTCAATTTGCTGTAATTTGGTTATTTTGGTTCTTATTGGGTTCCAAATCTTCCGACTAAAAATGATCAGTATTGGTCCCCTTTTTGGGGTATAACGGTACCCCCCAAATATCCCGATCTTGCGGATTTTGGTCAAGTTTTTTGAACGAATTGATGATGAACATTCGCCAACTGCCCAGTTATGCCCTAAAATGTGGCAACCAGTTGCTTCGAAGTGAAAACTTTCATTCATTTCCTAAATTTAGGTATATTTGGGAGTTTTGGTCACGTTCAACCAACATGGATTTATATTAGTTGTATTAATACAATATTTGGTATTTTTAGTTCAATATTTTACGCCAGTTGACCAAACTGAGAGTTTGTAGTTTAATTTTTTGTTTTCTTCTGATAGCAGCGACCGTACGTAAAGACTTTGTTACACGTTTACATTGTTATAGTATGGCCCTTCATTGCCATCACGTCTCACTGTAAACACCACAACACACCACACGTACGTCAAATTGTACTGTGTACATTTATGCTAATGTCAAACCTTTATGTGGCGCTAGATATATTGATATATAGTTCAACGGAGTCGGGATTATTTAGGATAGACCCTAGATTTTCATTACCAAAAAAAAAAAAAAAAATAAATAAATAAATAAATAACAAGTGAAAAAGCGTTAAGTTCGGCCTGGCCGAACTTTGGATACCCTCCACCATAGATATACAGACAGGTACTAGAAATGAAAATATAGGGAACATACCAAAAAGTGCACCTATACCAAAATTTCTAAAAACGGATTATGTAAACCTTAATACAAATTTCAGAAATTTATTTATAATGGATAATTATACCCTCAGCATTTTGGCTAATGTGGATGTATACACTTTAACACGGTGAAAATGTGCCTCAATGTGGTTCTAGACCCCATGTTTCTTTGGACCAAATCCGTTTCAGAAAATTTAGATTTCATCCGAACTTTGCCCATCTTATTTTTTCTCCAAACTTAGTTCAAATTCGAAGATGGGGAAAATCGGTCCACTCCTTCTGGAACCTCCACACAGAGACTAGGTCTAAATGCGGCTATAGTTCATTATCGAACCTTACGTTCTAATTTTTTATCTCGCTATCCTCCGCAGGTGAAATGATTACAACAGAGTCTTAGAACCAAACTCAAAAAGCGGAACAAATCAGATAACTATTTTAATATAAACCAGTAAGGAAAGTAGTAAAGTCGGACGGGGCCGACTATATGATACCCTTCACCACTATGGGTATATTAAACAGGACTATTAACATGAAATTGGATGAAATAAAATATGTGATATTTATCTAAATATGAATCTACCTAGATCTATCCATAAAGTATGTAAATCGACTTCAAACAAATATAAATAGGTCATCCGTTGGGCTATGTCTGTACTTCTAGAAAACGCAACTACGTAATTTTATGCTCAATTTTGTACGTTGTGCAAACTTTGATGTCAATCTGACTAACATGAGGAGTTTGATGCCCAATTTACGGGCGAAAATATATATGGAAGCTCTATCCAAATATTAAGCGATTTCAAACAAACTTGTCACAGGTTAGATTATACTAATTTCAGAACGTTTTGTTCCTATCAGCCTATTGGATCCTTGGTGCGTCAATTACTTATAATCAATCTATAATAAAAGGGAGCTATATCTAAATCTGGACCGATTTTCAGTACGTTATGCCAAATTTCGTGCAAATCGAAAGATATATAGAGACTTTGGTGAACCATTTACATGAAATCGGACGAAACTATATATGGGAGCTATATAGAAATCTGGACCGGTTTTCTCGAAACTTGGCAGACATCATTCTAGACTCAATTCAGTACGTTATGCCAAATTTCGTGCAAATCGAAGGATATATAGCGACTTTGATGTACCATTTACATGAAATCGGACGAAACTATATATGGGAGCTATATAGAAATCTGGACCGGTTTTCTCGAAACTTGGCAGACATTCATTCTAGACTCAATTCAGTACGTTATGCCAAATTTCGTTCAAATAGAAAGATATTTAGCGACTTTATTGCACCATTTACATTAACTTGGACGAAACTATAAATGGGAGCTATATCTAAATCTGGACCGATTTTCACGAAAAAAGCCAGACATCACTCTAGGCTCAATTCAGTACGTTATGCCAAATTTCGTGCAAATCGAAAAATATATAGCGACTTTGGTGCATCATTTACATGAAATCGGACGAAACTATATATGGGAGCTATATCTTAATCTGGACCGATTTTCACGAAACTTTGCAGACGTCATTCAAGGCTTAATTCCGTACGTTATGCCAAATTTCGTGCAAATCGAAAGATATATAGGGACTTTGGGGCACCATTTACATGAAATCGGACGAAATTATATATGGGAGCTATATCTAAATCTGGACCGATTTTAAAAACTTGGCAGACATCACTCTAGGCTTAATTCAGTACGTTATGTCAAATTTCGTGCAAATCGAAGGATATATAGGGACTTTGGGGCACCATTTACATGAAATCGGACGAAACTATATATGGGAGCTATATCTAAATCTGGACCGATTTTCACGAAACTTGGCAGACATCATTCTAGACCTAAATGATTAGGCTGTACCAAATTTCGTGCAAATCGAAAGATATATAGGGACCGTTCACATTAAATCGGTTAAATATATATATGGGAGCTATATCTAAATCTGAACCGATTTTTCCCAATTTCAATAGGGTTCGTCCTTGGGCCGAATAAGTGACCTATGCCAAATTTCATCCAATTCGGATCATAAATGCGACCTGTACTTTGTTTACAATTTTACATGGACAGACGGACGGACGGACGGACGGACATGCATAAATCGACTTAAAAAGTGGTTATATGCATATTCTCAAAAGGAACCATGGGTCTAACTCGATTATTTTTGCTGTTACAAACATATGCACAAAGACATAATACCCTGTATCACAGTGGGGTGAAGGGTATAAAAAGGGGGTTATATGGGGACTACGCCAAAAAGGGGGCGAATATTAAAAATTTTTGGTAAGGAGATTTGTTACCATATACGACTACAAAATACCAAATTGCAGCAAATTCGATTGAAAAACGCGCTCAAGAACCCCAAAATACCGAAAATTGGGGGTACCCTTATATGGGGGCTATCCGAAAAAATGGACCTATACTCATAATTTGTGGAGAGATTTGCTACGCAATAAGAACTCAAAGTACCAAATTTCAGCGGATTTGGTTGAAAAACGCGCTCAAGAACCCCAAAATACCGAAAATTGGGGGTACCCTTATATGAGGGCTACCCGAAAAAATTGGCCTATAATTATAATTTTTTGTGGAGAGATTTAACACCCAATAAGAACTCAAAGTACTACATTATAGCCAATTCGGTGAAAAAATGCGGTAAAAACCCCCCAAAACTGAAAATTGGGAGGTACCGTTATATGGGGGCTACCAGAAAAAGTGGACCTAAAGTTATTATTTTTACTTGAGAAATTTGGTATCCAAAAAGAGCCCATTTTACCAAATTTCAGTGAAGTTGGTTGAAAAACGCGCTCAAGAACCCCAAAATACTGAAAATTTGGGGGTACCCTTATATCGGAGGTATGCCTAAACGTGGACCGATATAGCCCATCTTCGAACTTGACCTGCCTGCAGACAAAAGACGACTCTATGCAAAATTTTGGCTTTCTATCTCAATTCGTTTAGACGCTAGAGTGATTACAGCAGACAGACATGCTTAGATCGTCATAGAATTTTATGCTGATCAAGAATATATATACTTTATAGGGTCGGAAATGATTATTTCGATGCGTTACAAACGGAAAAACAAAACTAATATACCCTCCATACTATGGTGGAGGGTATAAAAATAGAATTTTCAATTTTTAATACCACCATATTATTAGATTCTTTCTTAATATGATTACATATATGACATGGATATATAGTACAATTTTCAATATTCATATATTATTTTTGTTTATCTTCCCTCTAGCTTGCCATGGATGATTTAGCTGCTGCCGAGGATCAGCTGCGTGAACGTGAAGATGCATTACAAGCCGTGAAGAACTTATATGACAATGCTGTGGGTGAAAAGCAACGTTTGACAGATGCTGCCAATGCTTGTTTGCGGAAAATGACAGCTGCAACAGCTTTGATCAATGGTCTGTCCGATGAAAAAATACGTTGGACTAATCAATCGAAAGAATTTAAAATACAATTAGGAAAATTGGTGGGAGATGTACTTCTTGCCACCGGATTCCTTTCCTATTGTGGTCCCTATAATCAAGAGTTTCGGGCAAACTTAATACGAACTTGGATGAGTATTTTAAAGCAGAAGGCAATACCCTTTACCACGGGTTTGAATATTATTAGTATGTTGGTGGATTCCTCCACGGTGTCTGAATGGAATTTGCAAGGTTTACCCAATGATGAGTTGTCGGTACAAAATGCCTTGATTGCCACCAAATCCAGCAGCTACCCAATGTTAATTGATCCTCAGGCCCAGGGTAAAATATGGATTAAGTCGAAGGAGGAACAACATGAGCTGCAGATAACTTCTTTAAATCATAAATATTTCCGTACTCATTTAGAGGATGCCTTATCTTTGGGTCGTCCTTTGTTAATTGAAGATGTGGGTATCGAATTGGATCCGGTGCTGGATAATGTGCTGGAGAAAAACTTTATAAAATCGGGTAGTATTGAAAAGGTGTTGGTGGGTGATAAAGAATGTGATGTAATGCCCGGGTTTATGCTTTACATTACCACCAAGTTGCCCAATCCCGCTTTTAGCCCTGAAGTAAGCGCTAAGACATCGATTATTGATTTTACGGTAACAATGCGCGGTTTGGAAGATCAACTCTTGGGCAGAGTGATTCTAATGGAAAAATCTGATTTAGAAGCTGAACGTGTATCGCTCTTCGAAACCGTCATGCAAAATCAACGTAACATGAAGGAGTTGGAAGCAAATCTTTTATATCGCTTGAGTTCCTCCCAGGGCTCTTTGGTGGATGATGAAGATCTAATTGAAGTTTTACGTGTTACCAAAACCACAGCAGAGGAAGTGAACGAAAAACTGAAAATTGCCGAGGTAACCGAGCGGAAAATTATGAAAGCCCGTGAAGAGTTTCGTGCTGTGGCAGCTCGTGGTTCCATCTTATATTTCCTTATTGTGGAAATGAGCAATGTCAATGTGATGTATCAAAATTCTTTGAAACAATTTTTGGTCATTTTCAATAATTCAATTACTAAATCAACCAAATCAAATGTTACTGAAGAGCGTATAAATATTATTTTGCGTTATTTAACCTATGAGGTTTATAAGTTTACTAATCGCAGTCTTTACGAACGGCATAAGCAGCTGTTCACTCTAATGTTGGCCATTAAAATTGATTATCACAATGGTAATATAACGCATGAGGAATTTATGGCCTTTATCAAAGGTGGTGCGTCGTTGGATTTGAATGCTGTACAACCGAAACCTTTTCGTTGGATTTTGGATATAACATGGTTGAATTTGGTGGAGATTAGTAAGCTGGATACGTTCGTAAATGTTTTGGAATTGGTAAGTTGTCTTACAATTTGACTGAACTCTCATATAACTTGACCCCGTTATTTTATTTATTGGTAACATTTTTGTTATGGTATTAGAAGATTCTGACAAATATTGTCATAGATATTATGTAAGGAGATTGTAAATATCGCCAATGGGGCTGCAAATATTTTAACTAGAATATTTATATTAATATAATCGGGCTTTGCCGTAATTACCAGATAATGTCCACTCGCGGATATAGATTACTATTAAAAATTATATTTAAAAACATTGGTTTATATTGAACATTATTTTCAAGTCTAGCAACTTCGGTTATGAAATGTGTTCAGTGAAATCGGCGGTATGGCTGTATTAGCGTTGTACAATAAAAAACCAGTAAGGAAAGTAGTAAAGTCGGACGGGGCCGACTATATGATACCTTTCACCACTATGGGTATAGTAAACAGGACTAAATCCAGTACACTGTACCAAATTCCGTGCAAATCGAAAAATATATAGGGACTTTGGTGCTATATTTGCATGAAATCGGACGAAACTATATATGGGAGCCATATCTAAATCTGGACCGATATTCACGAAACTTGGCAGACATCACTCTAGGCTCAATTCAGTACGTTATGCCAAATTTCGTGCAAATCGAAAGAAATATAGGGACTTTGGTGCACCATTTACATGAAATCGGACGAAACTATACATGGGAGCTATATCTAAATCTCTACCGATTTTCACGAAACTTGACAGATATCACTCTAGGCGTTATGCTAAATTTCGTGCAAATCGAAAGATATGTAGGGACTTTGGTGCACCATTTACATGAAATCGGAAGAAACTATATATGGAAGCTATATCTAAATCTGGACTGATTTTCTCGAAACTTTGCAGACATCATTCTAGGCTCAATTCAGTACGTTATGCCAAATTTCGTGCAAATTGAAAGATATGTAGGGACTTTGGTGCACCATTTACATGAAATCGGACGAAGCTCTATATTGGAGGTATATCTAAATCTGAACCTATTTTTCCCAATTTCAATAGGGTTCGTCCTTGGGCCAAACAAATGAGCTGTGCCAAATTTCATCCAAATCGGATTATAAATGCGACCTGTACTTTGTTTACAATTTAACAAAAGACGGACTGACGGACATGCATGAATCGACTCAGGAAGTGATTCTATGCATATTCTCAAAAGGAACTATGGGTCTATCTCGTTTCCTTTTGCCTGTGACAAACATATGCACAAAGACATAATACCCTGTACCACAATGTGGTGAAGGGTATAAAAATAGTTAAACCCAATACGATCAGCAATTTGGACATGGACTTTTAAATGTGTATAGTTAATTTGTCATTCCGCGTTTTCGGAGGATAAAATACCCAATGACAGAAAATTTTCAGTGTAGATCTATGTTGTGACATAGTTTTTTTTTTTAATGTATCAGATATTTTCCAACCAGAGTGGTTGCAATATGACATTTCGAGGTGATGGCGTGAAAAACGTTTTCCCAAGAAATGTACAAAGGTGCAATTTTAATATCGCTTTATATAAAGGGGGCCCTATTTTTTGTATGATAAAGTACCTAATGTGTTAAACTGTGCGTCTGTAATTTGGTATTTCGGTTTAACCGAGGATAAAAAACTTCTGGCAGGCAATTTCCATGTTCAGTTTATGTTTTGATTATTATTATCGGTTTTCAGTGTAGTCCCAATATAACGGTAACCGATTTTCGGTATGTATTTAGAGCACGTTATCTACCGATTTGGTTGTAAGTTGATATTTTGAGGATTTTGTAATGGGCTGTAATTTGATATACAGTCGAACTCGGATAAGCGAACGCCGGTTTATCGAAAAAATGGGTTAATTTAAACTAAAAATTTTAAACTAATATTTCGGATGAATTTTCAAACACTCTACTTCTCTTAAAAGAAAAATCGGTTAATTGAAAATCTTTATAAGAGAAGGACTTTTTTGTTGCAAAACACAATTATATATGAAACGAGCACCGTTTAAGAGAAAAAATTAATTTTTGTAAATTTTAATTCTTTAAAATTTTTATGTAAAAATTATGTTGCACATTTTTCCAACCATCCAAGAAAATGTCTACGAAAAAATAAGTTCCTACTCAATTAATTAGGCGTTTTCGTTTAACCAAATTAGACTAAATTGGTTTCTCAACAAGTTAAAAACCTTCCTACCAGAAAGTATTAATATTGGTCCACATGTATGCCCTCGAGGAGTTTGGGCACGATTTTCAATAGAGTTGGTTGTAATATCCTCTTAGCAAAGTTAAATATTTTTGTATATAAAAGTTTTCATTACATTTTCAAGACCTCGATATTCTTTATGAGAATAAAATTCTATGTCGATTTAGTTATGTCCGTATGTCTGTTGAAATTATGATATAGTGATCGCCATATATAAGATAGAGCTTTGAAATTTTACACAGACTTTTCAATTACACTTAACATATTTTGTAAATTGGTCCAAGTTTTGGTATAGCTCCCATATATCGGCATCTCCCCATCTTCGGTATTTTGAAGTTTTTTTTTCGAATTATCTATCCAGAAAATTGTTTATATAGGTTGCATTCCGGGTTTCTTGGAGGGCGAGAAGCGTGTTTGCGGAATATTTTTAATACTCGTATAAGTCCATGTTTTAACATTGCTCACATATATTGGTCTCGATCCATATTCTGTATTTTGAAGGATTAAATCGCACCCTACGAAGCGAAGGAGTGTAATTTCACCCCTATGTTCATATTTGGGATATTTGAAGATGCGTGTCATGTTTAAACATAGCCTTCATAAAGAAAAAACCTGACCTATTTTCAACATTTTGAAGAATCAATTATTTAAACCAAAAATGTATTCCCACTTTTTTGTACCATTAAATTTCTAGCCCTTTTTATGCAACCTGTGCCTTTGTAAGTTGGATTTTGATTTCCTCAGAGCTTAAATAACATACTCGCATACGATTTAAAATGCTATAATCTCCACAAAAAGTTCAGAATGTACGAACTTAACGATGTTTTTATAACCATAGATCCATTCATTTTCTTGTTTTGATATATTTACCATAGGGAAGAATGGACCTTTATAGACTATATTATGTTCGGTATCTCCATTGGTATCATACAACTAAAATCCACCAGCCATAAAATATTCACTTAATTGATGGCAGAATAAATCGAATCTCAACATACATCTCATATTTAGATTTAAGTCATTCGTAAACTCGTGTTGAACAAATAATCTGTTTACAGATCGAATTGAACGAACGAGAGTGGCGCATTTGGTATGAATCGGAGAAACCGGAAAATGAAGAAATACCCTGTGGCTATCAATCATCATTGGATAGTTTCCGTAAGCTGTTGCTCATTAGATCCTGGTGTCCGGATCGTACAATATCACAGGCTAAGAAATACATTGAAGGTAAGAATTCAGTTGACACCTTTTATTCAATTTAAATTAATTGGACATCCATCTTTGCAGAATCATTGGGTCCAGAGTACAGTGAAATGCAAATATTGGATTTAGAATTGACATGGTCGGAGTCAGAGCCAAGGACACCATTTGTCTGTCTACTCTCCATAGGATCAGATCCAACAACGCAAATTTCCGCATTGGCTAAACAAAAGGAGATACGTAAGTGAAAAAAACACTTTTAGTATATCTTTTTTTATAAAAATAATTTGGAATTTTTAGCCCTCAAAGCCGTTTCAATGGGCCAAGGTCAAGAGTTTCATGCTCGTAAAATGATAATGGATTCTATGGCCGGTGGTGGTTGGGTCTTGCTGCAAAATGTCCATCTCTCATTGCCGTTTTGTACGGAAATTATTGATATGCTGGTGGAAACAGAACATGTTGATGAATCCTTCCGTTTATGGGTTACCACTGAGCCACATAATGAATTCCCTATTGGTCTGCTACAAATGGCAATTAAGTTCACCAATGAGCCTCCTCAAGGCATACGTGCAAGTTTAAAGAGAAGTTATCAGGTGAGTGTGAAATCAAAATTTATTGGAAACAATATATCATAATGTCTTCCTTTTCAGTCCTTCACTCAAGATTTCCTTGATTATACATCAGCCCCACAATGGCCACCACTTTTGTATACGGTGGCCTTTTTACACACCATCGTTCAGGAACGGCGTAAATTCGGCCCGCTTGGTTGGAACATACCCTATGAATTTAATGCAGCCGATTTTGCTGCCAGTGTACAATTCGTACAAAATCACTTGGATGAAATGGATCCAAAGAAGGGTGTCTCCTGGCAAACACTTGTCTATATGATTGGTGAGGTACAGTATGGTGGTCGTGTTACCGATGACTTTGATAAACGCCTGTTGACCACCTTTACATCGGTGTGGTTCTGTGAAGCACTGCTGAATCCATCGTTTGAATTTTATAAAGGCTATAAAGTGCCGAACACGAAAAGCTTGCAAGGATTCATTGATGCTATCAGCAATTTGCCTGCCAACGATACACCAGAGGTATTTGGTTTGCATTCCAATGCCGACATCACGTACCAAATTAATTCGGCTAAAGGTAAGTGGTCGTTAGAGAATGAACATCATGAGGAGGGTGGTTGGCAGTGGAGGTCAACATGGAGGGAGGGGGTTGGAAAATGTGGAAACATAATCATCCATTAACAATGATTATGGTTTTGTTTGTTTTGCCATTATCCGTTGTTTTGTACTGGCAATTGGAATATTTTGAGGTTCGATTAGGTCAATAAATGGCAATGCTAATAGATTATCATGTACTATAAATATTTGTATAATTTGTATTTTTAAAGCTAATAGAATTTTTTTTAAATATTTTGATTGAAATATCTCATTATTGCATTTTTCTTCCGTTTGTTGTTTGTCAATAAAATTATTCGTTCTATGGAATCACGTTTTCGAAATAAAGCAGAATTCGATACACTTTGAGCAAACACTGAAAATACAGAATGTGGTATTAATCATTTTCATTAGTTCAGAACAAAAGTCTTGTAGCCAATAGCTGATAGCCAATAGCTGGATTTAATACATACATACATGTTATTGTTGCTTTGTTATTGTCCTGTTCAGATTCTTCAAATCAGGAAATGCATCTACTTCCACTGGCTGTAACTACAGATATTCGGAAATGTAGAGTAGGTTTGGCCGGACAATTGAATACATAAATGAAGATGCTTTGTGTGCGGGCCTGCACCACATACTATGCAGACATTCTGCAATATGAATTGAGAATGTTTGCATCCTGAACGTAGTAGAGTCAACAATTGCTCTTATTTTTCTAAGCAGCAGTCGGAATGCTCGTTTTTATAGATCTGAATAATTATCCATTAGGGACTCAAGGTTAGCGATTTGAGAACCTTGTTCCTGATTTTTAATTATTGGGGAGATCTGCTGTCCTAGAGGATTTTGAGACAGCGGCCTGCACATTCAACATAATTTTTATCTCGGCAGTTTATTTGGTCAACAGTGTGGCTGAAGATTTTGTGGTGGATATTTTCATATACCTGGAATGAAATAAGCAACCGACGATGTAAGTGTCTAACCTCAACAACAGGGCCCATGGCGTCGGATCGTATCATCTTCTGGAACTCCTTGTTTCACTCTACAAGGTTTGGGACTTTCGGAATTCCATGTACGACTGGCGGTCATACATATAATTGATTGATCGACATTTCAAACTTGATCGAAAGGAGATAACAACAGCTCTGGAGATATCACCGCACACTGGGAACTACGTGTTTCACTACGTGTCTCCTCAAGCTGTATTGAATGATTGACAGCATCAAGGACTTTTGATAGATTAAACGCTACACTGTTCTATGGCACTATCAGTTCTGATTTAGTCGCTCGACTTATATGTGTGGAGATGACGTGCAGCGCTGCTGTTGTGTTATGTTGTTTTGCGGAGCCCATACTCATGATAAGCATCTAGATAATTTTCCATAGCTTCCATAATGCTTATTGAGTTTTCTCACTGATGCTTCAAGGGTCTTCGTTACTGGTGACAGAAGTGAGAGCAGTCCGTACGATTCACCTTAGCTTGCATCCTTGGTTCAGCAGCGGGACCACCCTACCAATTGTCTAGGTTTCGGGTGCGTTGTGGATGGCTATCGTCAACATAAAGAATTTAATAAAATACTCGACTTTGGACTCATCCTGCTATTTCATCATTACTACAGAGATTCCGTAAAGGCGCTGCGGATCACACTTCCACTATCACTAATAGTAAACTGTGATGTTACTTCATCGGTCGGAAGAGATCTTATACGACCCAGTACTCTTCGCCTCGCCATTTAACTCTCGGGATGCTCGACAAACAATCGGTTGAAACAACTAGTGCATCCCTTCCTATCTGTCACCGTTTCCTCACTAAATGCGTTGTTTTACTGAACCCATGCTCACGATCCGCAGCTTTACAGATTTCCCTAATATTGAGTCATAGCTATTGGCGACGAAAATAAGATAAATCCGTACGATTCATCTTTGTGGAAATTCCTGGCTTCCTGAACGATGTCAAATTTGGAACTTTAGTCAGGTTCTCGAATTCCGGTTGTTTCAGCTTTACCGTAGAGATTCCGTTCAGGGCCAATGCTTTTGATGATTTTGCGCTACTGATCACACTTACATTCATAGGAAACTTTTATAGTACCTTCTCGGGGGAAGATTCTTATACAACGTAGTAATTTTCGCTTCGTCCTGAAATTCTCTGGATGCTCGACAATCTGTGGGTTATGACAAATCCCTTCGAATCAGTCATAATTTCGTCGTTAAATGTTACAGAAGCTTTTTCAAAGGTTTTAAATCGAGTTTACTGTTGTCCTCAGTGTACTAATACAAGGCAACACAATCCATTACCCTGTTGGACCAATTATTCCGGGATATATTGCTTCCAAAATAGAAAAAAAACATACAAATCGACCAATTAATCTGTATGTGCCAATGTTAATATCTGGATCTAGCTGACCTTCATTCTTCTCATATTACGCATATTATGTAGGCGACATTTCCCTAAATGTGTTTACATTAAATCATGCCCCTATTAGGGTTAAGCCTTTCATTCATCTGACTATACGGTATTCACTTGCCATCTGCTTATTATTAACTTAATCATATTGAAGAATGTCTAATTATGAGGATAAAGTAGAAATCCATTAGTCGATAGAAACTTACAGCTAAATACCAAAATCTATCACTATCACGACAACCTGCTGACGTAAATACCACATTGTACCTATGTATACCTACGTACTTACATACATTTTTGAATATTTTAAAACACCCCCTCCCTCTACATCATTGACATTGACTCCGCTTCTCGTGCATTTTTAGGTATTCTCGATACCATTCTCAGTGTACAACCCAAGGAAGGTGGTGGCGGTGGTGGTGAAACACGTGAAAGTATTGTCTATCAATTGGCCGATGATATGCTGAGGAAATTACCACCTCAGTACAATGACTATGAGGTGCGTGAGAATCTTGTTCGTATGGGTATCCTATTGCCGATGAACATATTCTTAAGGTAAGTGCTTTTCACATGTGAGTTGTAAGTACCTTGGAAATTATTATTGGATTAATAAGATGATAATGAAGACGACGATGATGATGATGAGGATAACGCAACGTAAACATGGTTAATATGCTTGACATTGAATATTGGCGGAGCGAAGAAAATACATTAACGGATCCTGTGTGAGATAATTAGTTTAGGATAGACAAGAAGCTTTTTGTCAATTTCACTTTGAAATTTGTTCAATTTTCCGCTTATCACACGGTATTACGGTTAAAGTATTTAATGTGAATAATTTGACATATTTGATGAAAAATTTAATTTATTTTTTAAAGAGAAAGGGGGAATTTAAACGCTCTGAATTTTGGACTATAAATTAAATTTGACTTCTTGTGGATAATCAGACATTACTTCGAATTCGATCCAGTTTAAAACATTTAATAATTTTACAGGCAAGAAATCGATCGCATGCAAAGGGTAATAAAGCGTGTCTACTCATGTCTTTGTGATTTGAAGCTGGCTATTGATGGAACCATTATTATGAGTCCAGCTTTAAAGGACTCTCTGGATGCAATGTATGATGCACGCATACCAGAATCGTGGATGAAGGTAAGTGTAGGTTAAATTAAATTTAACTTAGCAAATGTCAAATACAAAATCAAAAAAGTCTACAATTTTTAAAAAAATAGATCGGATTTATACGTAAATCGAATGAATACATATATATTTTATGGATTTAACTTTACTTACGTTGTCTGTGTGTCAGACCAGGGCCTTTGATAGTTATTAAACTATTATAACTGATGCTTTATTAGTCAGTTCGTGTCGATTTAAATTATTAAAAAAACAAGCAAACATTTCCCTCTTACGAAAAAAATGTCCAATTTCAAATAGTCGACTACAAAATTATATAAATAAATTTGCATGGTGTTGTAATAACATCATTTTCTGATTTTTAATTTATATAAATAACGCAAAACGTTCCGCAATAACATTGAAACATAACATTTTGTTGATGGTTTCCATTCATTTGCGGAACAAAGTTTGTTGTTTTGATTTACAAAAAATTTGTCAGCCATATTATAATCGGATTTTTTGTTGGTCTGATGGTTGATTCCGTAACATTGTTGATGGATTATGCAAATTATTTATAATTGGATATGAATTGTAGTTTGTAGCATGTAATTTGATATGCATTGCAATTTTATATTTGAATGAATGTGTTTCTTTATTAAATCCGATTTAAACATTTTGGAAATCTGTTGTTTTATAAATAGATTTAAAAATGGGGGACCGTAAATTCAGAGGATAAGTAATTTTATTAAATGTTGAAAATTGTTGGGCATGCACAAACACGCCTGCTCTCTTCGGTGGTTTATTCGCAACAGAAAATTAGAAATTATGAATTCATAAAGTTATGTTTCAGCGTTGTAAATATTGGCATTGTAAACAGAGTTACATTCTTATGTTATTTATGACTACCGATTACTAATACTCCTCCTCAATGATAAAATTTACAGTTTTCATTTACATACTTAATCCTAGTAATTCAGAGCATTTTTCATGTTTTATTTTATTTAAATTCTTTGTTAATATATCAGCTATCATTAGGTTAGTACTACAATATTTCAAATTAATTAATCCATTTTCGTATAAATTTCTAATATGATGATACCTTATATCTATGTGCTTGCTTCGTGAATGATGCACTGGATTCTTCACTAAATGTAGTGCCCCTTGATTGTCGCTTTGTATTTCAATACCTGCAATTTCTTGTTGTAGTATCTCATTTAACAATCCGCTCATAAAGGTTGCTTCTTTTGCCGCTGCGGATAATGCCATATACTCGGCCTCCGTACTGGATAATGCCACTGACTGTTGCTTCTTGCTTTCCCACGAAATTGCTCCTCCTGCCAAAATAAATGTGTAGCCTGTGTACGATTTTCGATCTGTTGAGTCGCACCCCAATCAGCATCAACATAACATTTTATTGGCTCGCCAGTTTTCTCATACCTGAGTTGCACATTCATCGTTTTCTTTAGGTATCTCAACACTCTCTTTGCTGCTGCTAAGTGCTCTGAATGTGGATCACAATTCCTCTGTGATAATTTGGACACCGAATGCACAATATCTGGCCTGGTACATATACCCAAGTACATTAGTGATCCAATAAGTGATTGGTAAACCAATTGATCTGCCTTTCCACATTTGTTGTCATTGCATGCTACTTGATGATTTGGATCCAACGGCGTTGCGATTTCTTTGCAATTTTCCATGCCATAACGTTTCAACAACTGTTTGATATTTTCCGTTTGACTCCACACTCTTCAGTATCTATGTTCGTACTATGTCTTCCGCTGCGTCAGCCGAAAGTCTAGTGGTTTCCGGTTTTGGAATATCTTGCTATATTTGTTGCACATATGCGACGTCTCTCCCTGGGCTACCGACGATGCTTCTGCCAATCGATAGAACGCCATGCGAAGTAGCCCGGATGCCACGTCCGGGGGTTATTGGTAGCCCATTGGATTTAGCAGGGACCGGACTTGATAATAACCATCCCCAAAATCATGGGGTGTTGCACTACGCCGTATACCCTGCTCCGGAACCACAGGGGACGGGGTGCTTGGTATCGGGCTACCCTCTCTCACCGGTCTCAACGGGGTGTTCTGTTCGTCGTGCGATGACTGTGTCGATATCACGTTGGAATGTAGCGGGACGGAATGCAGTTCGAAAGGTGTATATTTCTGCTGGCCTCTTCCAAAGGTATTTGAAAATTCCCATCCTCTAAGTCGAGGCTACTGACATAATTCGCCTCTCTTATTCGGTCGAGAATGGGCGATATCCGTGGCAAGGGCTTAAATGACGAAAATCCATGCACAGTATCCAAGTACCGGTCTTCTTCCTAGCCAATGCAATTGGTGAATTGTACGTACACCCTTAGGCTTCGATTAATACCTTATTAAGGAGTTCCCATCCTCTAAGTCGAGGCTACTGACATAATTCGCCTCTCTTATTCGGTCGAGAATGGGCGATATCCGTGGCAAGGGCTTAAATGACGAAAATCCATGCACAGTATCCAAGTACCGGTCTTCTTCCTAGCCAATGCAATTGGTGAATTGTACGTACACCCTGAGGCTTCGATTAATACCTTATTAAGGGGTTATTGGTAGCCCATTGGATTTAGCAGGGACCGGACTTGATAATAACCATCCCCAAAATCATGGGGTGTTGCACTACGCCGTATACCCTGCTCCGGAACCACAGGGGACGGGGTGCTTGGTATCGGGCTACCCTCTCTCACCGGTCTCAACGGGGTGTTCTGTTCGTCGTGCGATGACTGTGTCGATATCACGTTGGAATGTAGCGGGACGGAATGCAGTTCGAAAGGTGTATATTTCTGCTGGCCTCTTCCAAAGGTATTTGAAAATTCCCATCCTCTAAGTCGAGGCTACTGACATAATTCGCCTCTCTTATTCGGTCGAGAATGGGCGATATCCGTGGCTAGGGCTTAAATGACGAAAATCCATGCACAGTATCCAAGTACCGGTCTTCTTCCTAGCCAATGCAATTGGTGAATTGTACGTACACCCTTAGGCTTCGATTAATACCTTATTAAGGAGTTCCCATCCTCTAAGTCGAGGCTACTAACATAATTCGCCTCTCTTATTCGGTCGAGAATGGGCGATATCCGTGGCAAGGTGTAATGGTCGTTTATATCCTATTCTAAAGGAAGCTATTTTTTGAAACCCATTTTCTATCAATTAGGCTTATCATTACCATTTATAAATGCCGCACAAAATTATATATGTTTTGATTTCGTTTCTGCTCAAAATTTCACCATTATCATTGTAAATGGTAATTAAAATAATTTGAATTCTAACGTACTTTGTCCCTGGAATTGTCAACCACTGTTTACGCTGAAGCTGAGATCATTTAGTAAACAAATGCTTTTATAACAGTTTGGTATCTGCTGATTATTGATTACTCCAATAGCTTAACACGACATTTCGTCTTTACAGACAAAAAATAGAAACTTCCTTTTTAAAATAACCTTGAAAGAGTGAACATTAAAAAAAAACTATTAAGCAGCAAATTTTTCATCATCATATTAATATATATTTTTTTCAACAAATGTCTAAAGTAAAGCAATAATAATTAAAAATCTATTGTGTAAAATTTCTAAAAACTACGTAAGTATTTTTTCAAGAAAATACATCGACAGTGTGGTTAAGTGATTGTTCTTTCACAGAATACCGTCGCTTGTCATATGAGGCTTGGAAAGATTGAGGAAATTATTATTGAATCCTGCCCAATCGCATGCCGTGTCATAACCTAAATTTTGTCAGTGAACTTTCAACTCATAACTACCCCAAGATTAAGCCATATCAAACGCTTATAAGGAATCCTATTCCGCCAGGGAACACGCTTATCCTAATTCTGGCAATTTCAACCTACCACACGAAAATCTTAATTGCTTATGAAATAACCTGGCGAGTTGATTACATTTACTTATAAGCAATCCATTCAGTTTTGAAGGAAGATTAGGTTGATCAAGCCAATGACTGTATGTATAAGCGTGTATTAGTCATTGATTCAAGAATATTTTGGGCGATTTCTGACAAAATGTACGTTAGCCTCATTGTCATACTATTATAGAAGTTGCGCGGAAAAAAATCATTGACGAGCCCCAAAAAATTCGTTTCATAAAAGTTACGCAGAAACAACAACAAAACTTGAAGAGCCCAAAAAAATTGTGTATCATAAAACTTACGCACAAACAACAACAAAATCATTGACGAGACCAAAAATGCATATCATCGAAGTTATGCAGCAACAACAAAAAAACCCATTGACGAGTCTCCAAAGAATACTATCATCAATACCAAAAACACTTTTTTATTCATAATAAAACCACTCAAACCAATAACAACAACACAACCAGACGGTCCAGCCACGGCGGTAATTGCTTTGCGTACCAACTGCTGCGCGCACCCCCACAATATCCATCAATTCTGCCTAGCAACAAGTTCATCATCATTATCGTCCCCATTCCATCATGATCGTCATAATGAAGTTATGCACTTGTCATCTCGTTACTTAAAGTGAAGATCATCATTATAATATAGCACTGCACTCCAAAACATTAGAACCACATCAACGGAAGGTTATGTGTAATTAAGCAAATTTATTATTAATATAATCATCCAATTATTTTCTAAACCTGGATTCACTGAAATTTAATAGATTTAAGTTAAACACAATTTCCTCATAAAATCATCGCCAAAGCAAAAACATAATCTTTAATCACCAGACTAGCAATTCATCAAGCAGAAAAGGGCCCTATTTTGCGACGATGGACATCAGTACAATGGGTGAGTGATTTGATTTCTGTTTATCAATTATTTATTTTTAAAATTTTGCTTTTGCCTTGTCGATATGAAGAATTTATTTTTTTTTGATTGTTACTATCATTATGATGTAGCCAAAGAAGAATATGCAAACATATCCAATGTAATTGTATTTTTATAGACATATTCAACTTTTGCTATAAATCATAGTGTTCATTGGAATTCCACATCATAGTTATTATTTAATTAATAGAATCATAA